GAAGTGAACCCTGCTGCGGTTCAAATGCATCTGGGAATGCAAAGTGAATCAGAGGCCGCTCCAAAAGCAGGAAGCGAACTGTTGCGCAGGGCATTCTGGGTAAAAACAACCGCAATAAACGTTAGTCTAGCGCTAGCAAGAGAAATGGCTTGTGGTCTTTTACCAAAGACGAGGGGAAAAATCCTACAGCCGCTAAAATCTGACGCCATTTTTATTTACATTTCGTGAAGAATAAACTTGCACTCAGTGTCTGCTGAGGTTTTCATGTCGTTTCCTTCAACAGTTCATCACATGGTGGGGAACAGATAGTTTGACGCAGTGTAAATGTGAACCTGCATTACAATTTTGATCCTCAATCGAACAGAATCTACCAAACTATCAGGTTGTGAAAACACCCAACGCCACTAAAGTCGCCCACTTCGCCTTCAGAATTGAGCAGCCTCACATACACTCCTTCTGTCTCTCTCGCGTTGTTTTCGTCTCGAGGTGAATAAGCTCTTGAGCATGTGCTGTCCTCTTCATCAGCCCAGCCTTTTGAAACCAACATCAGCCACATTGCAGCATTCAAAATGTGTAGAACAAAAGTTCCACTTGTTTAAAATACATCGAAGTTTGGAAATGTAGCTTGACAGAATGTAAAAAATGTTGAGTTGTCTCACTCCAGCAGCCAGGAGGTTCTGTGCACCGGATTGATCATGTCTGTTTTGCCCCATGCATCCACCAGCAGTAGCAGTGGCGGTGGCGGCAGCAGCCAAACCCAATCGGACCCCCCCGGCTCCTTCACTCCCACCCTGGCGACTCATTTCGATGAAACCCTAATCCGACACATCCAAGGGTGGCCTTCAGAGAACACAGAGAAACAGGTAGGTGCCGACAGAACCCCGAACGACTTGGCAACTTTCTGACGAGCGGCCTTCGTGACGAGACGTTGTGGTTCCATTCCAACAGGCGGCTCGGTTGCGAGAGGACTTCCACAACATGGGCAGCCTGTACATGTCTGAAATCTGCACGGAGATGAAGAACCTCCGCTCTCTGGTCAGAGTGTGTGAAATCCAGGCTACACTGAGGGAACAGAGGTAGGAGCAGGAAGTGAGGTTTGCATGAACAGACTGGACAAACACAAGTCTCCAACTGAGGATTTGTGTCGTCTTCTCCTTTGTGCAGAGTCCTGTTTCTGAGGCAGCAGAGCAAAGAGCTGGACAAACTGAAGAACCAGAACTCCTACATGGTGTGAGGACCTGAGAGAGCCTGTGAGCGGAAGCAGCTGAAATATGGACAGCAAGCCGCTCCGGAATGTTTTCAAAAGGCTACAGCCGAGTCCCCTTTTTTTTTTTTTTTTTTTTTCCTCTTTTTCCCTCTTTTAGTTTTAACTTTAAATTTTTTTTCAGTGTCCCGCCACTTTGACTGGTTGGTCTGAAAAGGCCAGACCTCGTGGCTCAGACACGTGGACACAGAGGACCTGTGATTACTGGCAGACGGCACCTTCTCGGACCACGGAGCTCAGATCGTGTGTATCATATTGGCTGAAGTTGTTTTCCGGCGTGTTTTTTTTTTTTTTTTGGCGTGTAGTGTTGAGGACGAGATTTAAAAATAGATATCGTGAACTTTTCCGCAACACCTCTGTGGGTCGACGAACGACGCCGTTCGTCGCACTTCTAAAACAGACTTTCTCGTACATTTAAAACTTACAGATTCTCACTGATAACTTTTCTTTTCTTTTTTTTATTCACTATACTTAGAAATTGTTTTGCCATCCTGTTGTGATTTGAGAGGATGTGACATCCGTTTTCTCAGTTGGAAGCATTCTGATTAAAGGACACATGCAGTGACCGCCTGTGAAACTGAGCTTCTGTACATTATCGTCTCTCAGCCGCCAACGCTCTCATTCCGTCTGTAGTCTCGACTCAATCGGCCGACGTTTCGCCTTCGGTCCCGGAAAGTTCTGCATTCCTATCAATTTTACCTTGGAGAGAGATTTTGTGACGCATTACAAAAGTGATTAAATTTACAGTCACGCAAAGCTAAGTTATTGTTGCACATGATGATTACCGTCCTTTGTAGTGACACAGAAAAAGGTGAAGTGGGAAGTTCTCCTTTTTTTGGTTTCTGTAAGGACAGTGTTTTTTTTTCTTTTTTCTTTTGTGATGCAGCTGTTGTTGCTGCACACCTTTTTTGTTACCTGACTGTAGCCTGATCTGGCTACTTTTTTTTTTTTTTCTAAGAATTAACTCTTTACAATAGGGAAAACTTTTTATACCAACATCACATTTAACTGCAGTCATTCCCTTTTATCGCCTATAAAACAGATTCCTTTGTCTCGCTACTCTTTCAATAGATTCCGTCAGGTCTGATGTGCAAATTTTTTGCGGGTGGGGTGGGAGGGGGGGGGCCAGGGTAAAGGGCGGTTGGGACGTTTAGGGGTATTTGTATTCCATAAAATATGTGAATAAATACTATACTGCACCTAATGCTAGACTTCTCAGCTTCTTCTTGATTATTTTGCAAGTCACCGAAAACTTAATTTATGTAAATGATTCTCTTTAAAAAGTGGAATTTCGTGACATTTAATGTGTTTAAATTCTTTATTTTGATAGAATGGATGTTTTGTCATTACAGGAACAATGGAAAAACACTTTAACAGCTCTCTGTGTGTCGGCATGTATGAAAGGAATGTACACATTTCACATGACTCAATTATGCAAAACAATTGATTATAAATACACAAAGATTGAGAACAGGCATTCAATAAATAAATATGTTATTGAAATGTTAATTTATTTCAGTAACTCATCACCAAGTGAAACATATTAAGATTATTTTGACAAAAAAAAATTACAATGCAGGTGTGAATGAGAGAACAGTTGTGTGTAAAAAGGGAGGGGACCGAGGACGCACCCTTGTGGTGTGCCTTTGCTCAAGATGAGGGTGGAGGAGATGTGGTCCCACAACACTGTTGCTAAGAAAGTCAAGTATGCAGGTAAATGGTGAGCTGCTGAGGCCTAGGGTTCTCGATTTTCATTAGATGTTTACCATACCTTTAAAAGGACAAGGTGGAAAAACCAAGGAGGGAAGGATTGAAGGGTACAGGTGAGGTAGAAAAGACTGAACAGTAGGAAGAAAGACGAAGAAAATGAGAGACACATTTAGAAAATGGCAAACCAGGCTGACCGAACCTCATGGTGATGTCAAGAGGAAGATGAGACAGCAGAGTGAACTTTGCAGACAAGCTGGGATTCCATTACACCTCAGCAGTGTCAAAGGTCGATTGCCTCTATACCACATTGATGCAGCAATTCATGCAAAAGGACCCCCAACCAAGTGTGTAGATATACTCTGCAGCACCTGGGCATATAGTTCACTAGACCAACATTTCTGCGTCAATAAGCAATTTGTGTTGGTCTGTGGAAATAAAATATTTTGATAAACTTAATTTTGGACTATCTTTATCCATAAACATCAAAGGATACACTAATTAAACACAACGTATGTTTTTGGTGATTCAGTTCGTTTTTCGGTAAATTGAATCACCGAAAAATGAACTTCTTGATGTATTTTGTTTTATAATCCATTTTGCAGCTCTTGACTTTAATAAGCAAAAGACGTGAAATTCCACACTTGCAATGTTTTTCCCAGACCACCAGATGGCAGCATTGAGCACTTTTCTCTTGAACCTTGTTATCTACACGTGTTGAACAGTTTCATCAGATTAAAAAACTCATTACCTCATATGTCACATGTGAAATTTGGTTGAAACAGCAGCCAGGCTGTTGGATAAAATCAAACTGAGTTGAGGCCTGTTACAATTCTGCACCTGCGTCGATGATCAATGACGATGCACAACTTGTGCCCAGAAAGGAAAGGGGGAAAAAAAGATAATAATCCTTGCTGCTTCTTCCATAGGGATTTAGGAGGAAAAGTTGAAATGAGTTGCTCCTGATGAAGTATTCTCGAGTTTTCTGTAACTGTGAACAGATCTACAAAAACAGGAGTTCTGGCAATTTGCTGGTGTGGAGCATGCTTCTCCACAATGACAACGTGGTATAAAAAGTTAACAGTTGGTAACATTGTTACCTTGCAGCAAGAAGGCCCTAGGATTTTTTATTTATTTTTTTTTTTTTTGTGCAAAGGGTTGGCATGTTGTCCTGAATGTTTTTGTCCTTTCTTCCGCAGTCCAAACAACATGACTGATAGATTGATTGTTCTCTCTAAATTGAGTGTTTCTTCATGTTGCCCTTTTGTGGACTGGTGACCTGTCCATGGTGTACTTAAAGCAATTTACCGAGTAACGAATACAATAATAATTAGAATATTCTTGTATCTGTAATTACTATCTTTAACATAAATAATTCATTGTGGTGGTTATTTCTGCAAATCTGCCCATATCGTCAAATCGCTTCAAGAGTGTCTCCTGTTCCACATATGATATATCATCATAAACCGTCAGTTTCAAATCGTCCTCACAACTTTGAGCTGTTGTCACAGGAACCCATTTGTAGTGAATTAAAAAAGAGTGGAGGGCATTTTTTTGTTGTTGATAGAATTAGTTAATTTCTAATGCAGTTGGTGGCCTTGTAGGGAGTTTTGGACTGTTGGTTTCTTCCCACGGTACAAAAACATGACTTTAAGGTCAGCTGGTCTCTCCAAATTGCCCTTATGTATGAATGATTGAGTGTGCATGATTGTTTCTTCAATATGTCTCTGTGTTGGTGACCTGTCCGGAGTGCACCACGCCTTTCGCCGCTTGGGTATAAATGATGGCTGGATAGTTTACCTCCATTAATTTTATATGTGACACCCAGAAATGCATAGCTGTAGCTTTTAGGTTGATTTGTAATTCGGTAATGGTCTGTACTTTCTATAGTGCTTTATTACGTCCAGAGGACCCCAAAGCACTTTACACTACAGTTACCGCATTGCATCACCAGAGGGCGCTGTCATTAAATAAAGCTTAGTGTGGCGCAGCTGTGAAAGGCAAGAGATAATACTTGTGTTGTGTGTTCCCCTCGGAACTGGGAAATTCCGACTTCCCAGTTGGAAATCTCACCTGGGACGCCCGCCGAAGTCGGATTCCCCACTGGGAAACTGGGAGCAACTCCAACTACTTTCAGTTACGACTAGTTAGACGGACTATGCGTTTCAAAATGGACGCTCGTCGCATCGACTGTAGTAGGTGGAAATGTTTTCATAAGACACACAAATAAAAGTGTCTAAAATTAGAACCTACAACTCTAAACTGAAAGTACCAAATTGAAAGTGGTGATGGATTATGGGAAGCTTAAAATGATTGTAAACATAAATTACATTATGAGCGTCGCCATGTTGAAATTCAGACTTCCTGCCGTTACTTTGCTCAGGCCTGACGTCAGTTCCAGCTCCTACTAAATATTCTTGGTGCTGATGTCAATGTTGCAGAGTGTAATTTGTTGAGGTTTACTTTACTTAGTGCTCTTGTTCTGTCTAATTTAGTCAAATCTATCCTTTCTGTCCTTAAATACTAGGGGTCTACCAAACATTAAGCACAAAGCTTTATGTCTTTTTACTAAACAACCCCCCCCAAAAAAACAGGTGCTCTACTTTTCAAAACCAATGCCAACCAAAACAGGGTTCATCTTTATGAACCTGAATCTAATTTCAACAGCGCATTAGCAGTGTACAACGTATCAGTCAAGGAACATGGTAAAACAGGGTTTTACATGCTGTGGTGGTGCAGGGGCGAAGCACAACCCAGTACTGAGGCCTTAGTCCTCGGGCTGGTGGTTGCAGGTTTGACTCCTGGCCTTGTGACATTTGCCACATGTCTTCCTCTCTCATTACCTTCTTTCCTGTCGAACTACTTTGAAATAAACGTCACTAGAGCCAACAAAACCTTTTAAAAAAGAAAGATTTTAAAATATGGCTTTACTATGATTGCTTGAAGCACTAAGCAATACATTTGTGTAGCTCGCATGTGAACATGAGTAATAAGAATCCATTGGTTTAGTTTGACTGTGTGAAGCATCTTTATCATTTTATAGAAATAATTTTTAAAAAATTCCTCACAAAAGCGCTGCTCACCATCTGCTGTTGCTGTAAGTGGTGTACAACGGGGTTTTCCTCGACATTTTAGGAGAACAAGTGTTTTTTATTTAAGTAAACTTGTAGGCATGAGACCAACTCGTGTTGCCACAGAGTCTGTTGTGTACCGAATCGATCTGCAGGAACGCTTTGCTGCAGAAAATGCTGGACTCAGAACCCCACAGAGGAATAAACTGTTGTTTTTCTACAGCTGTGAGCAGAGCTGCCTTAGGTTTCTCACCATTTTTAGAGTAATCCCCTTGTTTTGATTCTGTTAGGCAATTCAGGTGTGTGGCATGATCCATACTCTTTTTTTTTTTTCAACGTTGACCTTTTAGAGCTGCTAAAAAAAAAAAAAACAGTCAAATGGATGTGAAGGCAAACCAATCCAAGACCTAAAAATGTTTTTTGTTCAAGATTCTAAATGTTATTTCAGAAGATTAAGGCTGAAATGTTTTTTTTCTCAATTTTCTTTTTTTCTCTTTTACATTACACCACTCAACCATTTGATAAAAACTCCCATCAAAGAAACTCTTGACAGGATGTTGTCCTTTTTTATATCTGAAAACCTATCATTTTCCCCCCTCCATCTGTGACAGGCCTGAACCGTCTGTCCTCATGTCCTCTGCACGTCTTTTAGCCCCCGTGATTTATAGATCCCATCGCGGTTTGTGTTGGCCCCACGTGTCAGGGGTTAAAGGTCCTCAGCCTCTCTCTCCTGCTCTGAGTCAGGTTTATCTCCAGGAGGTTAGATTTTTGTGACATCTTCTCACACTCTGAATATTCGCCAACAGCTCATCTGTCACGATGTGCGAGTGTGTGTATGTGTGGGACCCTGGGCCTTTCAACCCAAAACATCCTTGGGGGACATGGGTAACTGCGCTGATTGCCTGTCATAATATATTTATAGCCGCTACCCGTTTATAAGGGAGCCAGCTGTGGTTGAGCCACCATTAGCCCCTCTCAACCCCACCTTTACCCTCCCCACTGCTATCTAAAACTTTGACTTTCCATCCCATTTCACCTGTTTCTATTTATTCTTCTCCTTGATGAGTATTTTTTTCGGCTTTAGTGTAGCGACAACGGGAGTCGAACTCTCGGTACGCCCCTCCCTGATGCATTTACACTCCTGACTTTGCTGACTCCTCAGTGTCCCTCTCCGGTTGTCGCAGCCAGAGGAGGAGTCGCGCCGGAGTGACTGACCCCCGCTCACACTGAGCCCAACATGTTGGCTCCAGTTGACTTTGGGAGAAAAAAAAAAAAAAAAAAACTTTTGATGAACGAGAAGAGCCCATGGCACAGAGCCTTTTAAAAAAGCTCACGTCGTTTGGAGTGTCACTGACAGGACGTGTTGTCATTACTTTTAGTCGTCTCTGCATGTGCCGGGAGGATTTGTCTGTACATGCAGCAGAGCCGCATTAGTGGAGAAGGAATAATGAATTCATGGCTGCAGGTGAAGGATGTTGTGGATGGCGGTGCCAGAATTAAAGGCTGGTGAATTGTGATAAAAGGACTATGCAAAAGTATTCATACCCCTCAAACTTTTTCAGTTGTTGGCAATTTGCAACCGCAGACTTTTATGTTTTTTTTTTTTTTTTTTTTAAAGTATATGTGCTAGGTTGACACAAGGTCGTTCATAGTAGAGAAGAGCAAGAAAACATATTTCACAAACATAATTTAAAATATGTGGGTTTGCCTTTTTTTTTTCTTTTTCTTAGTAAACTACCTTTATTCTGATACCCCAAAATGAAATCCAGAAGTCAACAGCTGTTCTGTTAAGGTTGAACAGTAGCTGTCTTCCCATTACAAATTTGCACAAATCTTTCTCTGTGTTCTGCTAATGTTGAGAAAACACAATTTAGAAATAAGGAATGAAAATAAAATCACACTTAAATAAGCTTTTTCACGCGATATGACATTAAAAATTATGTCAGCTATGGATATAAACAGTTGCATAAATTCATAATTTAGCCGCGGCGCTACTACTTATCTAGTATCCATCAGATGACATGTTGGCATCTTATTCAGGCACTCGAGCAACAAGCCCTGTAAGCTTTGGAGCAGCTACAAACGCAGCATTTTAAGTAAACTGTATTCAGAAGAGCTATGGATTCAACACATTAGAACTGCACACAACCTTTTATGAACTGTTCGATGCTATAAGGCCTGTGAGTAAGAAAACCATCGTCCTCCTCATACTACTTCCTGTGGTCTTTGTGGTTTTCGGATGTTGATCACGTGGCTCGTGTCGTGCAAGAAAAGCGTTTCGCAAAGTGGCTGAAAACTCATCTCATCCCAGCGTAGCAGCTTTTATTGAAAAACTTTTCATTCGTTCTTCTGTGAGGCAAATTTATTTTTGTAATTTCATTTTCCACAATGCTATGGGTAATGGAAACGTGGCTAGTGAGGATATAAGGAGCAGAAGTCGCAAAGGTGGAAGACTTTGAGTACTTGGTGTCCACTGCCCAGGAAAACATGGAGTGTGGTAAAGCAGAGAGTCCAGGATGGAGAAAAGTTTCAGGAGTGAACTTGTGACTAAAGAGTGGCAACAAAGGTCCATAGGAAATTTTACAAGACAGTGTAAAATTTCTCCAAAGCAGCAATATTATTGAAAACTGTGGTACTGACAAAGAGACAGGAGGGAGAACTGGAAAGTGGCAGAGCTGAAAATGTTGAAGTTCTCCTTGGGAGTGACGAGGATGAACGGGATTAATGATGAGGACCTTGGAGGTACAGCACAGGTTGAAGGCCTGGTTGATAAAGTCAGAGAGGCTAGACCGAGATGATTTGACATCCAGAGGAAGGACAGTGGGTATACTGGGAGAAGGATGTTAGGGATGCACCTGCCAGGAAAAAGACAATGAGGAAGGCCATAGCAGAGACATATGGATGCAGTTAGAGAGGGCATGGAGGTGGTAGGAGTGAGAGATGAAGACATAGACGACAGTTATGTGGAGGAGGATGACTTGTTGTGGCCACCTCTGAAAAGAGATCAGCAGAAAGATGAAGAACAGAGAAAAACAACCTGAGCAAATACAAAGCATATTTTTCAAATGATGATTTTATTTACCAAGGCAGTCAGTAAAGCAACCTGGCACTACAACCCTAGACCTAAAAACTGGTTGTGCCTTAACACTCTCGTCTTATGAGACGGGGTCATCTTGACCACAAGTTGTCTCCTCTGTGCGCAGTCTGTGTTATGCTAAGACCGCAGGAGAGCTAAGATATTTCCATTCATAAATTATAGTTCCATAAAGAATATTCCAAAGCACTTTCCCAAAAGTTTGACTTTTTCTCATCAAGAAGATTTTAGGAAATGTATTTAGTTTGGTCAACTGTAGTTTTCTCTTCGGACCCTTCTGTTGCTACAAAGACTCTGTGTCTTTGTACTCCAACACTTTCTTATTGTTGGATCATGAATACTGATCTTAATAAAAGAGGCAAGTATAGCTTGCAGGGCAGGATGTGTTGCTTTTTGAGATATTTTAGCCTATTTCATACTGTCAGATGGGTTCTATTCCTAAGATTAATTGATCAAACAGTCAAAGTTGAGATTAAAATGGGCAAATGCATTTTCACAACACTGGTTTGGAGATGCTGAAAAGACCTGCAGAGGAGTGATGGTGGATTTACTGTGTGAAGGATGTTGAATATGGAGCTAACAAGGGGGAGGAAACAAGAGAAAACAGCAAAGAGGTTTACGGATTACAGGCAGAGGGTTTGTGTGACTGAGAAGAATAGGAATAGGAGCGACGGAGGCAGGCGTATCAGCTGTGGGGACGTCTAAAGGAGCCACATGAAAGAAGACCGCGCTGTACAGTTGTTATTCAGCTCACAGTCGGATATAAAATTCCTTACTGCGGGTTAAACATTAATGACTGTCGATTTGATCTAGAGCCCTACCAGGAAAACAAAGTACAAATTAAACACCATGTTGCATGAATGCATAAAGCAACACGAGAAGGTGTTCCTGTGCTGGCCTTCAATGTTAATGTCAAATTTGCTCCAACGTGGGGAAAAAAAAGCTGTAATCCCATTTGACAATCCCATGCAGCGCCATGATTTATCGCCTAGCAATCAAAGCATACATGAATTATTCAAGTCACTGCTCATTGTTTCTGTGGCAATAAAAGTCCCTTAAAATGAACACACTCACAGTTTGGAGTTTCTCACCATAACAGAGCACACGCGCATCTAAAATCTTTTGGCTTGTTCTTGTTTGTTTCCTCAACACACATTTATGTTTTCCTGGCTCTCCAAACACCGAAGGCTCATCTGTTCAAAACTTCATGCTCAGAATCCAAAGACACCTTGTCTTTTCACTGACAAGTGAAAGACAAATAAAGGCACATATTTTTTATGTGCCTTTAAAAAATATTTTTAAAGGCACATATCAATCAGATGTGACCTAAAAGTAACCTTAAGGTACAAAGTTTCGACTTTTCAGAAAGAAATGTCCAATTTTCTGAGATAAATCTCAAAATTTGAGGTTGTTTTTTGGCAGGAATATACTCTTTGTTTTTCTATCCTAACAAGTCGTCATCGTAGGTAACAGTGGGTTGTTACCTTAAAGTTGTAACTACACATTTTCACCACAGGAGGGTGCTGTTAGCCCCTGTGGTAGATTTCAAAGGAACTTCCAAATGTTATGGGGTTTTTTTTTTGTTTGTTTTTTATCTTTAAGCAACTTATAACTTGTTTGCAATTGAACAATTCTAGCTTAAACTACACACACACCAAAATCAAAACAAACAAAACCAGAAATGACTCAACATTCTTAGCATTTCCTGTTTTTTGGACAAATGAGTGGCAATACTGTAAGGAGGAAAAAATGGGTCAAAGTTATGTGCGAACAGACCAGATGAAACTATAAAGTGTGGAGTTCTGGGGTTGTGAATTACGCCTAATAGTGCCCAGGACTGCCCAGGCTGCCCATGAAAAACGCAGCCATTGAGTACAAAAAAAACCCTCATCAAAGACGCCATCAGAGGGTCTGATGGGAAAGACTTTTGTTTTCTTCCTAGTGGGTTCCAAGCAGTTCCCCACATTTTTTAATTGTCTCCATTACATGGTTTGTTTACTTCATCGTTTTGCTGCTGAGTGACTTGGTAGCGCTCCTTCTGGACCTCCGGGTTACATCAGTTTAATAAAAGGGATTTGTCCAGTCAGTGCTGAGTCAGCGCTGTGCATCAGCTCGGAGTTATTGCGGTCTGCCAGGATCAAACTGCCAGTCTGATCTGATCTTAATCAAACATGAACGAACAGACCAAAAACCCTCACTGTGTTTGCGCGTGTGTTGCCCTGAAAGTTAAAGCTTGTTGGTACAGCACATTTCAGCAACAAGGCAGTTCAAAGTGCTTTACGTCATAAAAACACACCGTCACCAATTGTGTGAAACAAGCAACAAACAATACATTTCATCAAACGCCACCATCAAAATCAATCAAGAGACATCAAATATGTTGATCAATGTTCCATTTACAAAGGCAAATCAAAGGCAACTCTAAGCAGGTTTCTGGAAGTTTGTTCCAGATTTGAGGTGCATAGAAGCTGACTGCCGAATGCCGTCATCCTCCTGCCACTTCCTGTTTTATTCTTTGTCATTTCCGCCAGTAGTAAGTAACATCCGGTTGTTGATCACAAAAAAAAGTGCAGTTTGGCGAAATACATTAATTACAATGGAAACGCAGCTATTGTTAGATGACTGGGTTGAGTCACAGTGGCAGGTCACTATTACCTGTTCTTATTTGTAAGTATGTTGTACAAATCAGTTTTCACTTTCACATCAGAGGGTTTTCTTGTAATTGTTTGGTCAAAGAAAGGCATATTTTGTTGAGCGATTTGGAAAAGCGATTTAAAAAAAAGGGGGGGGGGGTAAAACGTCCAAGAGGGTGAATACTTTTCATTGGCCCATAAAATGGCTCTGGGTCATTTTAAGATGTCTGAAGCAGACAGACAACTTTCAAGAGGCGGTTCATGTACACAGCTGAAAACGCCACAGCGCTGTAACCTGCTGCTACACTTTAAATAAATAAATAAATAAAAAAATAAACAGGAAATGTATTCATGGACAGCAGATCTGAGGAATCAGATGGTTTTGCAACTGCAAGTCAGGCAAACTGTAGAAGTAATGAAGCCTTCAGGTTTTAATCTGGAGCGACACGGTGAATGAGCAGACTGTTACTTGGGTATTTGGAACAAAATGGCACAACAGTGTATTATCAAAATACATAAAGTTTGAAGACCCCACTGTGGGTTTAAAGTCAGTCAGATTCTTCTTTATTTTTTTCCCCATGAAGGTCGTCTTATTTTTCTCTTTAAACTTCCTCGTTTCAAAAATGATTTTTTTCCGCTCACACTTTATCGTAAAGTCTTTACGCCTTCACGTAAATAAATGTCTGCCGGCTGAGCCACTTGCACACAGATGATAGAACGTCTTCCGCCCAGTGATTACAAGTATATGCTCGGATGATTGAAATCTCATCAGCCCTCCACAAACGCTCCACGTGTTTTGATGGAAGCCCTTGATCCGGCTCAGCAGAACCACCAGAAACAAGAGACCGACCCAGAGATTTCATTAACACTTAACGCTTGTGGCTCAGGATATAAAGTTTCACTGCGCTTTGAGGCTTCAAGGGCAGCTGTACTTTAAACGTGTTCCTATTTTTTCTTTCTTTTTCTCCCCCCCGCCAAGTCGTGCAAAACTGTATCTGGATGGCAAAGCATTTTGCCCGGATTTTATGCACGTAAGCTTTTTCTTTTTATGAGATATTGCAGCTCTTTTATGAATGGTGCTGTTTTTACAGACTAAATATTTCCAACATAAAACTGGGATGTAAGGAATCCGCGATCAGAATTTCAAGGTTTCCTGCTCACTGTGTCCCAGCGCATGTTTCTGCATGTGCTTTTTTCAGATTGGTAATGAGTTAATTGGCCAATGGTTTTCTAGACATGACAAGGTGATTGATGTGTGTGTGTGTGTGTGTGTGTGTGTGTGTGTGTGTGTGTCATTTTACACCTGATTCCAAAATTCTGAGAAATGATTTTAGTCAATGTGGCAAAAAGTTTGGTAACTACTGTTGTAGCCGACTGGTTCTCACGAAACATTTGGCAGATGAACCAAACATGTCTCACGGTGGAGAGCTGCTCCTGCGTGGATGGACAAAATGAAACATAACAGGCTGAGGAAATGGCAGAATTAGATGGGAGATGAATCACAGCAGCTGCTGGAAGGAGAAGATGTGCTTCGTCATCTGCCATTAATGTCAACTCTGAGTGGTGTGCCGCGTTAGCAGATCTTTCTTCTGCACTGAAAAGTAAAATAATAAGGTAACTGGGCAGAATGTGGTGTGGAGGTACGCTGCATCTCACCATTAGTCAGAATTTACTGTTTTTGTTGTACAGACACAAATCAGGCGATGCTTCCTGTCCTGCAAAGCTGCAGCAGTTGCTAGGCTATATCTGTTAGAAAAAAGCTAAAAACAATTGACGCCTTACCCCACCGACCCTTACGATCTTGCGATGCCTTACCGCCCACTTCTTTCTATCAACGCCTTTTTGAAAAAAAATTTTTGACAAAAGAATTTAGGTTTTAGAAATAAAAATTTTGCTACAAAACATTTTGAATTCCCTTTTTGATACCGTACCCACCGCTACCCTCGTTCGACGTCTTATCTTCTTTCGATGCCTTCTCGAATTGTGAGTTTGAGAAGTTGAAAATTAGCTTGAAAAAACTGATTTTTTTTTTAGAAATATTTTCTTAATTAGCTGCTGGAAGTTTTGACATCTTACACTCTCTTACCCCTATACTGCTTTGACACCATTTCAACAATTTGTGAACTTTTTTTTTTCTATTTATGAAAAGTAAAAAAAAAATTGCTAGAAAAATACAGAAATGTTTCAGATTTTTTTTTCAAAGTAGTAGAAATAAAAAATTTGCTGGAAAAAAATTCCACAACATTTTTCTTTTTTCTTGAAAATCCCTGAGGTTTTTCTCGCAATTTTTTTTACTCTTCAAAGTTTGATTTTTCAAACTCAAAAGTTTAGTTTTTTGTAGAAAATCTCTGATAATTTTTGGAGTGTGTAACCTCCTTTTGTCCATCCACAATGGCCATGGCACGCCGTCATCCATAAAAATGAATATCAGAGAGAAAAAAAAAACCGCATCTTCTCTCATTTACCGATTGCTTGTAATTGCAACACTTTGACCTAATTTAATTTAAAGCAACACACTTTTCTTGATGCATTACTTCCAATCACAGCATCTAATAAGATCCATACATCTTCATTATTTCTGCTCCAGCATTTTTCTTTCCACCTCGACAGCAAAACAGCAAAACAGAAAAAAAATAAATAAAAAAAAAGAAAAGCTTGGGTTCATTTACTTGGCTGCTTAAATGAGGATGCCTGCCAGAATCCCTTCAGCAGCAAATGTACAAATACAGGGAGAGATTCATCGGCCAAGATTTATCCCTATCCTCCCCTTTTACTAATTATGTTGGGTTTTTAATTATACTAAAGCGCGCTGCTCGATCGATAATCCATTGTTTCTCGCGCCAGTGGTGATGTAGCTTGGAAGCTGGTTGCACAGCGAGGCCCAGAAAACAAAGATTAAAGATTTTTTTTTCTGACGACGAGAACCTACGAATCGCTCTAATTGAGGTGATAAGTGATAGCGCAGCGTGTAACCTCTGCCTGTTTTCTTTTTTTTTCCCAGTTGTTTGCGGGTCGCGTGGCCTCCGGCTCGGCCGTTCAGCCGCTTCGCTCGTTTGCTTGTGATGATCTCGGCGGTGAGCGTCGGCGTGGACAGCCCCGGCTTCTACAACTAATGGCTTGTGGCTTCCAACCTGGCAGTGATGAATAGCGCCGTGGGTCCTCGCTGTGGTTTCAGGATTATCTTGAGTGTATTTGGAGGGTTGCCAGAATAAAGTCCATGTAGCTCTCCAGATTCTGTTTTTTTTTTCCCCCCCTCCTCTGTATTGTTGGGGATGTTAGGCAACCACAGCCAGAAAAAGATCAACTTGAGGCGGACCTGCAGCAAGACCCATGTCCTTTTAAAGTAACTGCAACATCATTAAAAGCTCAGCTTATATTGCAGACTTGCAAACGCATTCGACCTTTGACCTTTTTTAGATTTAGTGAGCTCAAACCTTATTTTATTTTATTTATTTTTTTTGGAATAAACCAACACAAATTGTTAAGAATGAGGAAAAATACACAAATGGTTTTCCATATGTGTTTGGTCCCCAAAATCTTACCAAGTATTTTTAATCTAGTTTCTAGTGCATAACAGCCTGGCACACTTTAATTAAGAAATCTTTGAAGCAACTTTTCATTAAGATAGAGAAGCTTGCTTTAAGTACAAAGTACTCAGCTGCAAGTAAAGGAAACTTACTCCTCTGTGTTTAAATAAAAGCAAACTGACATAAGATATATTTTACTTTCTAGTTCTTGGGCACCCCTCTTCTTTATGCCACCCTGGGCAACTGCCCACAGAGCCCAGATAGACAGTTTAACACAAGCAGATAAAGATACTTTGAACAAATCAGACAATTTTTTTTTTGTCTTCTGCTTGGAGGAAAATTAACATCAACTGACCCTCAACATCCTCACTATTACAATGAGATGAAGCTGGTTTCATCATTTCAAATTATCAGTTATTAAAAGACACATTTAATAACTTTGTAGCATGCTGCAGTGAAAATGAAAACTAAAATGCTGTAGAAGTGATAGCATGAACAGCAGGGGGGGTTCATATTGTGCAAAGGGGAATCATTGGAGGGATAAATGCAGAGATGTGCAAGAAACCGATGAGATGTTTTCATCCTAGAAACTGTTTTAAGGGAAACTTGGGACCTTTATAATGGAGAACCAGGCTCCATGTTCTTCTTAATTCATTTCCTCTCGACTGCAGCTCTCCTTTAATTTATGGTAACTAGCAATTCATTTATGCTTGGTGGCTCTTTTTCTCCAGGAGGAATTCTAGGGAGGCTTTCAGGTTTCTGGTTTTTCCACTGATTATTGAGAACAGAATTGTTAATATTTGACACGCCATTTTAAATAAAGTGTAAACAAAGATGTAAATGTTTTTTGTTTTGTTTTTTTTACTTAATGGTTTTCTAGAATATCAGTTTTCTAAACTAATATTCATTTTACTGAGCTTCATATAGAGGAGTGTCCCACTTGCTAAGCCTAGGTAAGAGTTAGCATGTCATGCTATTTCAGTACATTATCAATACAGACCTGACGCTGACGTTTTCAGTTTTACCCGATCGCAAACATTAGCCTGTGGCGTACTATGTGTCAGTCCAATGCTATGAAGCTTTCCAGAAATTTCCTGCGATGTAAACAACCATCCTCCACTGTGAGGAGAGACTAGAGGCGCCGATCTAAACAAGGCGGCTGTTAATGTTAATTCAATATTTGGAGGCGTGGCCAAAACGGACTGAACCACTTCGTTCACTTCCTTCGCTACCACAAACTACAACTACTATAACCAAGTGACAAACTGCAGTTCTAAAACAGAGCAGAAAATTGATGTCATCATTCACAACTTCTCCTTCTGATTGGCCAAGTAGAAATTGTACAGAAGGAATCCAAGTGAACGGTAGAAAGCCCAACCTGACCTGTATGAGGGAACGTTTCTGAGCGGAATTGCACAGGAAGGTCCAGGCTAGGCTAGTAACTTTTTACCATTTTAGCACTAAATATGAGTTTTACTGCATCGGATGTTATTTTGTGTTGAATTGCATGTACCCAATTAAATATCATTCCAATATTATCAAATGTGTTTGAATGAACTGCTTCCAGCTTTTCTCACAAGTATTAAATGTAGTTTTTGACACTACAGAAATAAAACAATATACACGCCCTCTCTCTGCTCCTCTTCCTCTCTGTCTTAAGTCATGATTCGAATCAGTAACTTTATCTTTTTTTTTTCCTCTGTCCTGTTGCAGATTTATTTTTTTTTTTTTAAGACCGTGGCCCACTCCCCCCTCCCACTGGAAAAGGTTCGTTAATTTCGACTCTGCTTACGTCTCTTGCAGTTCAGACTCCACTGATGCATGTCGCCTCACGGCATGCTCAGCACTGAATCGCAGCAAATACTCAATTTATCGTCAGCTGCTTTCTTCATCCAGGCCACTGGACAAACGGTCTGCATTGCGCTCGGCTCGATTTAACTGCAGCACATTAATCCAACAACAACCCCGTTTTCCATTGAGCTCTATTGTTATCTTTGAAAAGCACCTTGGGATGGAATCTGGTTCAAAATGACACCTTACCAATAAACCTAAATTGTGAGCGATACTTTATCCTTTATGTTCTACGGTTTATTGATGGGGACATCCATGATGTGGACACAAGAGGAAAAAATTATGTTTTAATTTCCAGGATTTTTAAAAGAACTTTTTTAGCCATCACTAAAAGTGACTGAGAAGCACAAAATCAAAGAGTAATCCCAAAGTAAATGATAATAATTTGCTTTCACAGTTTTAGAAGCTCTTCAGCTTGCTGCCAGATTGCCTAGTCATTATTTTTTTTTAAAACTAATGCTTTAACAGCCCTATGACGGGTGGTGAAACCATTAAGAGCGAGTGTCATAAAGTGTCTCGCAATAATGTTCCTAATAAAGTCTGAAACACTGAGGAAGTGGGATTTTATTGCTCGTTGTTAAAGTTAGATTCTTTAAGGTTGGTAAGCGCCGCGGTTTTCCACTTTTGTCTGGATAAAAAAAACCCGCAGACTTCGATGTGAAATTGACACCAAAAGGGTGCCATCCTTCTTACCGACGAAGAAAAAAACCAGCTCCTAACGGAGAGGAAGAGATGCGAATAATTCCTGCATCGAGGGATTCTTTAATGTACTTTTCCATGGTTTCTCTTTCTGTTTTAGAAATGTTATACAGGCGGCTATTTGGCAGAGGAGAAGATCTATAGCACAATGGTAAGGCCCATGGGACGGTTGAGAGATCTGGTGGATCGGCTTCATGCTGACCCGCCGGTGGCGGAACGGCTGAGCGGAGGCAGGATGAGTGACCATGACATAACGTGTCGTTCAGACCAGTCGATGTGGGAGTTAAGATGTTCCAACCAGTCAAATCCCAGAATAATTGCCGAGCTGGCTGCTGGAAACACAAAGAATGAAATCATTTCTTGATGATGGCCGGAGATCAGGAGATTTAATGGAACAGTTTGATGAGTTATCTGATGTAGGTGTTTGTCGTCCAGAGCCGAAACCTTCAAGGGGCTTTTTTAACGGAACGGTTTTGATGGCCATTTGTTGCACGAGACTGGAATCCATTAAATTATGCTCACAACCTGAATCAATCACAGCTGACAGTGTTAAAGTATACTACTCTGATTGGAGTACAATTTTGGGGTACTGAACGATTGCTCTATGGATCACTTTTTAACGACAAAAAAACACCGCCATAAAATAATGTCTATCACTGCAGTGGACGTCCCACCACATGAGAGTAGAGCGACGCGCCGTGGTGGACGTCCCTTAATTTGATCAGAAAGGTGGCAACCCTGCTCTCAGGGTCGGATGAAAGAGGCTCCAGGTTTGTTTTCACTGGGTGAACTGGTTACAGGCAACGAACGGATCATTTCAGCACACGTTACATCACTGCCTCTTGCTTTTGCACAGAGAATGGAGGATTTCTGACATCGATGCATATTGCACACGTTTTTGAAACAAGATAAACATATTTAATCTGACCTCATCATCCGACAGCTAAAGGTCTCTGAACAGACACACATTATGGATGGAGCCTGTCTGCCGCCTTCGTTTTTTCAGAGTTAAAACATGCGCATACGTAATATCCCGACAGACGTTCGACTCTCTGTTTTATTCGCAAATTAACTCAGGTGTCTAAGATTAAAAAAAAAAGAAAGACAGAAAAAGAATTGTGAAACGCACACATTTGTCAGAGACCCAAGCAGCATTTTCCACCATTTAGTGGCCACATTTACAGGAAGCTGAAGTTACAATGCAACCCAAGAACCAATTTGCTATTTATATGTAACGGTATTCTGACGGGAATTCACTGTTTGTGTTCGGATTCATTACAATGCTAGATTCCACAAACTCTGATATGTTTGAGACTCATTTATCCCTCTGCCATAAAATAGGGACAAAGAAAGAATTTTTAATTTATAGCCAGAAGGGATCTGCATCCTGGGAACTGGTGAGAGTCACAGGTTTAATCCGAATAATATCAGTAAAAAACAGGAAATGTGCTGAGCTTTAACCCCTACTTACTAATATTTAATTATATCACCAAGTGCAGCTCATTACAGTTCATGACATGCTGATGTTATCTACGGCAGCGCGGCGAATACTTCATTATGTTGAAGTATTGACTCAAAGATAATGAGTCATAAAGTGGGCTGTCAGCCACTTTTGGCAAACTCTTTGAATCGCATTAAATTCAGGAGGTTTCTATAACTAATACACACCAACACGTCACTTGTTAACGGATTTGCTGGGTTTATTTTCTGTTTTTTCAATAATCCCACGCTGCAACTTACAGAACCTCTTACTGTTTTTTCTTTCTATTTAGTAAAGGCATGATTTATAACCAAGTGACAAAGTGTGAGATTAAATCAAGTTTTTTTGCTTCAATAGTGTCAAATTTATTTAAACAATGTTGTAGATATATGCAATGAGGCTAAAACGGTGTAACCAATGTTTTATCTCTGACATGAATCAATTAGATGAACGACTTATTTCATATAAAAAAATTCAACTTTTAAAAATTCAAATGCAATATTTCCAGTGTCCTAAAAATTCAATTTGCTCAAATTCGCTGTCTCAAATTCAGCGTCTAAAAATTCGCTGTACAAAAATGGCAAGGTTACTTCAGGTCACAGACATTAGCAATCATTGTCAGATTTCAACACCCAGCCAATCACATGACCCAAGTGTCATATTGAAGAAATAC